CTTATTTAGGTCCAGTGATGCTATATTGATCAGATTTAAAATGCATAATTGTCAGCAATAATGGTCTGAAAACCCTCACTTGTCAATAGTGTGTAATTAGAAGGAAAAGAAATGCAAGACACCACCTAATTGGTATTAAGTGCACTCTTTCTAATTATCAGAAGAAAGGGACTATCCATTAAAATCCCATAATGTTTACTAATTACATTCCATACAGCTTACAGTTTAACAATTGTAGTCATTTTCTTATTGTAATTGGATTTCAACAAAGGTGAGATAAAATCATTGCCGATACAACAGTCTTTTCAAAAAATAAATTAATGCTTCTCAAGTTGAAACTCAGTATCCTTATCTCATGTCTTAGATACACCTCACTTGTCTGTGCCACATCCTATTTATGTTACAGTTAAATATCTCAATGTATAGATAGAGAAAGCCCAAGTATTGACCTTGATTTAGATACTTGCGATGTCCTAGACTAGACTTTATTGTAAAATACAATGATATTATGTGTCTGGTGCAGGGTGTAAAATTTCATAAAATAGTGAAAATTTAAGTTTTGCATTAGATACCCTAAATTTCAGTGTTCAGAGAAGTGGAAGTAGAAGTTCAGAGAAGTTTTGTCTTTTTAAAGCTAAGCGTACATGGCATTACATGATGATCAAAATAATGTGTTGGTTGAATCTCAAATGAAAGAGCAGGCCTGGAGAAATCTGTTATTCTATTGCTGTTTACAGCTGTATTAATTATCAGCAGCAGTAACATCACTTGCATGCAATGATTACTTGCCTGGAGATGTATCTGAAATGAACATCAATTTTGGGTTTTCATTTATAGCATACATTTTTAGGAATTGTTAATTATTATGTAAAAAAAAGCTTTGCAAGGTTAAAGGTTTTATTTGATTTAAGATGATTTTTGAAAATGTTTGGTAAAAAGTCTTAAAAAAGAAAGTTTGATTTGTTAATGGTGATTATTTTAAATTCATACAGTATGGTTGGTTTAATCACAAATGTTCTATAAGTTGCTTGGGTGCTTTAATACTGTTGTATTAATTAAATACCATAAAGAAGATCTCTGTGAGATGCTTTCAAAACAAAATAAACTATTTCATATTGAAAACAATACAGTTTCATGTTGGAATCGATGTTTTTTTATTTGTATTTTTTGCCATTTAGGTTGTTGTCATATTAATAATGAAAAAAAAAACATTTCTTTATATAAACTAAACTGCAAATAATTTTGAACTGATACATCTTGGGATTTCAAACACCAAATTAATAGTGTTCTTCTAAGTCATAATATCTTTTGTCATCAACAAACCTGGTATTTTTAAACCAGACAACTCTCTAAAAAGCTAATCACAAATGAAAAATTATTCTTTTCAGATTCAGATTTGCTGGGTAACACATTTTTGTTTTGTTTTAAACTCCCTGAACTTATTTATACAATTATTTGTTATAATTGTTATAACAGTTCTACAATTATATTTGTTACAATTGATATGAACTATCCCTTCTAATCTCTTTATAGCCCTTGCAGCTTTAATGATCAGATTAAACTGTTAACTGAAACATTTAATTTTTTATGACACGTAGGTCATTTAAATTTCTATATCATATCTGAATCAGATTTAAGATCACTTTATTGACCATATACAATTTCTTGTATTAGGAATTTGTCTTTTTACATACCCCAACTTGCTCTCCATGAGACACACAGACAGGGAGAGAAGCTTGGGGTCAGAGCGCAGGGTCAGCCACGTACTGTATATTGATCCCCTGGAGCGGTTGGGGTTAAGGGCTTTGCCCAGGGTCACAACAGAGTAGGATTTCTCCGTCAGCCGCAGGATATGAAGCTGCAAATTTCCAGCCAGAGGTGCAGATCCTAAGCCACAGAGCCACCACATCCCCCTGTTTTTGTGATTTATTTCTTATACATTAGTTCATAACATTTGGTATCATTTGTGACAACACAATAGTGTAGTGGCTAGCATTTCTGCCTTGCTACACTAGGGCTCTAGGTTCAATTCCAGACCTGAGGTGCTGGTATCTGCATGGACTTTGTATGTTCTCCCCATGCTCACGTGGGTTTACTCCAGATGCTCAGGTCCAAAGACATGTTGGTAGGTTCATTGGCTTCTGAGAAAACCCTGTAGAGGTATGCTGTCCCATCTATCCCACCTTGTGCCCATTGCTGACTAGGATAGCTTCCACCTAGCCTGTGACTTTGTATTGGATAATGCAATTATAAAATGGAGGATGGTATCATTTGCATGTTTTCTATCCTTGTGTATTTGACCTTTTACAGGTATGTGTTTTTTACAAGAGTAAAACTAGAAGAAAATGTGTGCTTACATAGAAAAGTAAGAGGCAAATCTAAAACCTTGAGTGAGAGTATTTCTCTCTCACAATTGAAGCAGAATGCCCAAACACTTGTGGTGTATTATCAAGGATTTCATATCCTTGAAGAATGAAATGTACGTGAATATATAGTGACAATTTTTTGATACATTACACACTGAATACATTTCTGTTTGCCTGTAGAGTCAGAGAATATAAAATTGTAATAGAAAATAAAACAGAAATGTTTAATGAAGACGAACTTTACTAGAACAATTTTTCCCACAGATTTGTAGCGGAGACAGCCCACTGCTTTCATTAGGAAGGTGTCATGCTCTATAAGTCAGTTTTAATTCAGTATGTAAATATGCGTTTCCGCATGCTTTTCAATTCTAATTGAACATCTGTTAATAAATTAGCAGTAAGTGCAGTAAATAACACATTCAAAGGTAATATATTTAATATTTCTAATAAAGAAAGAACCTTTAACTGATGTTTGAAAAGTGGTTTGAACATATCCATAATGTTTACACATGCATGGTGCATTTCATATGCACAAGACATAACCTACAATACACTGCAGGGGTCCCTGATCCCGATCAGACCTAATGTAGCCACCATTACATCACCACTTCCAAAAGACCGAGAACAATTTCACTGTGATCAATCAAGCAAGGTATATGTTATTGTTATGTTGATTCAGAACCAAAAACTAAGTACTTTTCAGCCTCTGAGAACTAAAGTTTTCTGGTTTTAAGTGATTACTTACTTAATTTATCAATAACATACTATTGTTCATTTACAAAGTTATGTTACATGAAATACTACAGAATGTTGTACATATTTGCAAAATTGTGTACTTTACAAAGAAATTATCTTTCTTTAGGTTTGAGTTTCAGTTTCTTGGTACACCAGCCACTAAATTTTGATGACTGGATATAAAGTGAAAGGATATCACTATGAATTAT